CTTAATAATTTCATGGTTTTTAATGTCAAGTTTGTGTTTATGAATCCCAAACGTGCATCATCTCTGTGCCTACACACCATTTGTAAACGAGACCCCTGGCGCACATTCCATCTGTCTTCTTTTCATAATTTTGTAAATCATCAAAAATCTATGATGAATAATTAAAGTGCTACTACAGCGAATGAGTGAAAAGATGGCATACAGTCATCTGAATTCATTAGCAGCGTAATTATTTCCATAGTGAAGGCCTCTGGATGAAAGCCAGAAACAACATGGCTTGTACGAGCCACCTGAGAATCGTATCTTTCAGGGAGGGTGCATATCTGGTAATACTCTTCCTCAACACTCCAGCTCCAAGAAAGGGGAAGAGAGGCAGGCCTCCAGGCAAGTCCTCTAAGGCCAAGCAGACGGTGGGTGAAGCCAAATCCCACAGAAAAATGGACCGCTTCAACGGCATGTCAGTGGCTGAGGTCATGGCCATGACCCTACCCGACATCCTGACCTACAACCTCGACATCTTGATTGTGAGTTGTTCAAAGGGAAATGTGTCCATACAGTGAAGAAGTGTGTTAATGCTCTGATTTATTAACCTATTTTTTTCTGTACCTGGCGGGTGCTGATCTGTTGAATGACTTTTTAAAATTCTCCGTCTGGTTGTACAAAGCAGGCCATAAGCAGTTGGACAGTGGCGTCGTACAAAAACATCCACAGTTCCTACGTGGCTCTGAAGATTTTACCCCTTAAGCTCTAATTTTACGCTTAAGTTTTCCCTGAAGTAGGTTTTAAGTCAGGAAAAGCATTTTTTTCCAATGTTGTAGGACAATGTCACAAACATATTCTGTATCTGCTGGTTGCAGCGCTTCACTGAAGTTACATCACATTTATTTTGAGAGAATCATTCAAACCAACGACACCATTTTTATTGCCGCAGCAGTACAACAATTGGAAAATATCTAGATCTGGTGCATGAATTTATACACATTTCCCTGTAGTTCAGCAGGACATATTTAATATTGTTGGAAACCTTGGGATCTCCAGTAGAATTTAAGATGGGCTTGAAGTTCTGCAAGTTTGAATACAGCAGCTGCGTTTGACGGAGCCAGAAATGGGTGCGTGGGTTTAGTGGAGTTAAACACCTGGAAATTAAATGTGACAGTATCTTCTACTCTGACCACAATAATATTTACAAATCCAATGTGCTAGAGTATAGAGCCAAAAATCAAAGTGTTGTGTCCCTGTTCAAATACATATGGGCAACATTGCTGCTATTATGGTCTACTCCTCTTTCCTTCAATCACTCTCTAACTGCCATATTATCCATTAGATAGGAATCAACCCAGGGCTTATGTCAGCATACAAGGGGCGCCATTACCCAAATCCAGGAAACCATTTCTGTAAGTTGGATTTCTGTAAACTGTATGTTAACGTTGAAAAAATAGTGGCTGCCATTGTACAATCTATTGTGAAGTGTTCCGCGCTGTTATTAAAACGATATTGAACCAACGGTTGTTATTTTGTGAAGGGAAGTGCCTCTTCCTGTCTGGTCTCACTGACGTGCAGCTCAACCACATGCACGATCAGACACTTCCGGAGAGATATGGGATAGGCTTCACCAACATGGTGGAGAGGACCACGCCAGGCAGCAAGGACCTATCCAGGTGAGCGAGACAGTGGAACCTTCTGGGAAGGATTGCGGAATAATGACACAAAAACGAACATGATCAACAACACAGAAACGAGGGGTGTGCTATGAAGCAAGTTCAACATTAGCCAGGCTTTCTTTGCGTGAGCTGGCTCAACAATCCTTAAAACCCTAAGCCAGGGGTAGGGACCCTTCTCCAGAGAGAGCCACTGTGGGTGCAGGCTTTCATACCAACCAAGCTGCTACACACCTGATTCTACTAATCATCCTCTGGAATGTTTGTTCAGGGCCTTGATTAGTTAGAATCAGGTGTGCAGCAGCTTGGTTGGTATGAAAGCCTGCACCCACAGTGGATCTTTCTGGAGTAGGTTCCCTACCCCTACCCAAAGCCCACAAGCAATCGTCAATACAAAAAAAATTGCCGGATCTAGCTTTTTCACCAAAATTTCTTTCAATTCCGAGACTACCACACTTCCAGTGCTTGGTGCTTAGCTTAGGTCTATTGCATGTGCATAATAATATTGCACGATAGCGATCTTATCATCTACATTAGCGCTTTTCAAACCTCTCCTGGAGTACCTCTCCTGCTGTGTTTTTTAGAGCTCTGCCTGCTCCAGCACAGGTGAGTCACATGATCAGCTCATTACCTGTGAAGACGCTTGATAATGAGCGAATCATTAGAATCATCCATGCTAGCGGGGAGAGATCTAAAGCATGCGGGAGAGGTGATACTCCAGGAGAGGTCTGACCGTCTGAGAAGCATTGATCTACATCAGGGGTCACCAACTCCGTTCCTGGAAAGCTACCATCCTGTAGGTTTCTGCTCTACCTCCTATTCAGCACACCTGATTCAACTAATTAGCTACCTAACAAGATCACTAAGCTGGGCAATTGAGTGGCTAATTAGTTGAATCAGGTGTGCCGAATAGGAGGTAGAGCAGAAATCTACAGGATGGTAGCTCTCCGGGAACAGGGTTGGTGACCCCTGATCTACATCATCAGTGATTGTTGACGGCAACGCTAAAATTATACTGCAAATTATATCAATCACCTGAATATTGCCATGGAAGGCCCTTCTCAAAACTTTGAGAAAATGATCATTACCCAGCTGAAAGCTTCTTAATACTGTTTCTATGCTCGGTATCTTATGGCCAAGTATCCGTAACCATGCGCGCTAACGTAACCTTCCGCAGCTCCGTTAGACCGGAAGCGACTTGGCCACCGAACTATCCCATAAAGCAGTGGTCTTCAACGTTGTTCCTATGGGGACCCACTGTGTATACTGGTTTTTGTTCCAACTGCAATTGTAATTGCAGGATTTTAACGAGTTGCTAATGCCTTAATTAGGTGTTTTTCATGTTTAGACTTATTAAAGGGCATCTAAAGTCGATTCTCAGACGGGACGTTGAACGTCCAATGTTTACAAACAAATCACTTGCTTTTGTTGACATCTTGCATTGTCACATGACCAATTTCATTCATCAACTAATGTTTTGTGCTCAGGCGTAGATAATCCTTCTATTTAGGTGCGTTTGAGCAGGTGCGGCTTGCTGATTGGCCGATATACAAAAACAATGGGAATTGACTTTAGATGCCCTTTAATTACTCACTTTAGCCAAATGTTACACAGAAACATCCATACATTCTATGGAGAATAACATACCCTAGAAGATGGTGTGTTTATTTCTATGCTGCAAGAAATTTCAAGTGCTATAACATCTCAAGTCAGATCAAATTAGACACTGAGGAAATCAGTAAACCCCAAATTAGGCTGCTGGACAGAACTGTTTAAAGTTCTTTCAAAAAACTTCAGGTGAACTCAATTAGATTAATAACACAAATGGTTTGACTCTTTACTATTTGCTTGTCAAATAAATTTGTCATGATGTGCAAATTAGTTTTCACCAATTAGGGTGCCAACTACATCTTTAATTTGATTGGTTATATGGTTTTCTCTCATTTTATGCTGTTATTACCAATGCATCGCAATGTGGGTATGGTATTTTTTTATTGTGGTTTTTTATTCTTGATGGCAAACATAGATGTTTCGGTTAACTTGTGAGTTAAGAGGGCAAATAACTGCTCTGAACATAACTGCACTTAGGACAAATTAACAGCTTGTTCAAACCCTGCGATTACAATTGTGGTTGGAACAAAAACCAGCATACACAGTGGGTTCCCAGGAACAACGTTGAAGACCACAGCCATAAAGCATCGAAAATGGGGCATGACTGCAACATCAGGTTTTTTTTTTTTTTTGTATTGACAATTGCTTGAATTGGAGATACAGCTAAGGCAAGTGAGCCATCTTCGTGACATTGAAAACCTTGGTTTTAGACTCAACATATCTGCTTAGTCCACTAATTTTGCTTCGTAGTACACCCCTCGGGAAGTTTTCTAATTGGTGAAATTTTTTGACACAATTAGGCTGCGTGTCCAAGTCAAAGGCGGCCATGATAGGGCTTCCTTCAACTCTGCCCAGTGTGAGCTTGGCTTCAGTCAGTGTAGTGTGAAGATGCATCCTAATGACATCATGCGTTTAAGAGGGGAACCATGGGTGTTGCCACTCTCAAATTATGGACTGAACATGGTCAGAAAATATCATTAGGAACACCGCCATAAATAACCACATTTGAGAAGCAGATTAATTTGATTCTGAGGTGGCTTTAAGAGCTGTAGTTCTGTGGTTTTGAGCAGCTATCATACCGAGCATCTGTCTGTCCCTGAAGGGGAACTTCAACTTGCGGCTGGAGTTATTATTTGCTGTCGCTGATTTTTGGCGTTTGGCATATTTTGTTTTAATTTTTGACTCTACTGCCCATCTCAAGGACTCCTCCAGAATCAAAAACGGCTATTTGGATCAAAATTGGATCAAGTTTGTTCAGAATTTCCAGGGCCTAGAGAAACTTGACCCAACTTGATTCAAACTTGATCAAGCTGGGTCAAGTCTCTGTGCAGTAGGAAATTTTGAGGAAAACTGGATAAATTCGGATCAAGGTTTTGTTGGCCCAGAAAATTCAGGCCAAACTTGATCCAGATTGAATCAAGTTGGGTCAAGTTTCTCATGGCCCTGGAAATTCTGGACGAACTTGATCCGATTTTGATCCAAATAGCCGTTTTTGATTCTGGAGGAGTTCTGGTGCATCCCGCCTCAAATAATAATAGCTATTCATTTGCCAACTACTTTGGCTCTTTGCAACCCTGTTAGTGTCCCCAGTTTGCTTTGGAGACTTATGTAGCACAGTACTGCTAGTTAGACCTCTTTTAAACGGATATATGCAGAAAATTAGCACTCATCTTAAGAATTACCTGTGTGGATGCTTCTGTAATCGTGATCTCAGTACACCTAAGTAAATTTTCTCAGGTGGTGGAATGGTGGTTAGCACTTTTACCTCACAGCAAGAAGGTTCTGGGTTCGAACCCGGCCTGGGGCCTTTCTGTATGGAGTTTGCATGTTCTTCCCGCGTTCGTGTGGGTTTGCTGCGGGTGCTCTCACAAAAACATGCATTATAGGAACGCTCCTACCGGTGCCCCTGACCACGGAACTGGCTTTAGAACTGGAGATAGTCCCCGGGCGCTGCTCTGTGGCTGCCCACTGCTCCTAACGATAGGATGGGTCAAATGCAGAGGACAAATTATCCCACGGGGTTCAATAAAGCCTATCTTATCTTATATCTACCGATTGGAGCCCCATATTCATCAAGCTACACACACAGTTTCTTAAAACCGTTTGCTTTTGTACAGCAAAGAGTTTCGTGAAGGAGGACGACTTCTAGTGGAGAAGTTACAGAAATACAAGCCTCTTATCGCAGTCTTCAACGGAAAATGTAAGTGCTGATACTGAAAGCGAGGATTCAAATTCACTGTTTTTGCATAATTTTCGACTGGTCTGTTTCACAAGGCATTCATCGTTTGTATATGTATAAAAAAGTGTAGTAATTGCAATGATTTTAATGAAATTACCTGTAAAAAAAAAAAACAGCAATAATTTGGCCTTTTACGAATTTTTTTTCTCTTCAGGTATTTACGATATTTTCAGCAAAGAGATTTTTGGAATCAAGGCGAAAAACCTTCAGTTTGGCATACAGCCTCACAAGATACCGCTAACAGAAACAGTAAGTCATGTCCTCTTACACGTGCCGTAATATGGCTGAAACAGGAGTAAACAAAATCTTTAGTTGCTTTTTCAGCCCCAATTTGTACAGTGTAACCCAGGGGTTCTCACCGTTACCCAGAATGAACCAGTAAGAGTGCAGGCTTCTATTCCAACTATACAGTTGCACGCCCGATTCTACTAATCAAGCAGGCATGTTACTGAATCAATGAACTGAAAGCCCGTTCCCACACTGATTCATTTTATATAACGATGAGTACCCTTGGCATAAACTCAGAGATTTTGCCAAAGTTACAGCGTGCGGTGAAATCCTATTTGCTTTCAGTAGCCTAATATAACACTATCCTCATCAAACGTCCGGTCCCTTGATTGCTGGGGGTCGTTGTCTGTCGCTGGTCTGTTGCCGGTGCCAAGCTGGCAAAAAGCTGGACCAAAGAGTTGAAAAAACACAAAATGAACCATCGTCGCTTGATCCAGTGGCATCTGCGTTTTCAGTGCTGCTGCGCTGTTTCCTAATGAAAACGTTTTCACCCGCACTGAAAAAATGTTCGGTTGTCCGTGCGTGGCTAATTGTACCATTAAGAAGAACTGACTGAGAGTACCATCCTCCTTATTTGAGTGCGGTAAATTCATTACAGATGTGACAGATAATTAAATTTGAGTAAGTTTGACTCTTTGTGTTAGTACTTAACCCTTAGAGCGCTGAATAAATTTTCAAGGAATTAAAAATGTAATTATCCTGAGCTGTTGAAAACCTCCAGAGCTCTTTTAAACAAGTTTCCACATGATAGGTTTTCAACAGCATCTGATTTTGATATCTTACCTCATAGGGCAATTATAGTTGCCTATAGCGCTCTAAGGATTAATCAACTGACCTCTTGAACCCCCTTCCCCCCCATAGGTGTGTTATTTGATGCCCTCTTCTAGTGCCCGATGTGCCCAGTTCCCTCGTGCCCAAGACAAAGTGCACTTCTATATAAAGCTGAAGGAACTGCGGGACCGGCTGAAGGGAGTGGCACCGAGCCAGGAAGTGCTAGAAACTGGATACTCCTTCGATCTTCTCATAGCCAAAGGTAATCCGAAGGGTTTTCGCACTGTACAGTGCTTAGCCCCTAGCTAACGTTAGCCCAGGGGTTAAAGAAGCCCGGCCAAGGGCATAACAGTTTAAGGCTGGGAGGACAGAACAGCTGAAGCGGTCTTGTCCGCAAGAATACGTCTGATTTTTTTCATTGATTGTACGTTTATCTCTGCACATTACTGGGGGGATCTGTCTCCTCGTCCTTCCTTAGATTACTCACATGAGCCCAGCGCCTACTGTGTCCATGTTCACACACATTTCTCCCGTTTTACTACTCAATTTTCAGTGATTTCTGGAGTTAGCCCTGAAAAGTTGGTGCCAGTTGTGTGTAAATGTCCTTAGCCCGTGGCTAACCCCCTCTTAGCCCGAGGCTCACGTTTATTTGTATGCCCTTGTGGTGGTCAAAGATTTTAGTCGCACCTGTAGCCAACAGGGGATTGCTTTCTCAGTGAAGCCATTGCTGAGCATGAGGCCCCCTAAAAAATTGGTGGGAAGATTTAAGTGGTATAAAGTATTGAGCCGTTCATGAGTATTTGTTTTGTACTGTTTAAAAAGTGCTACAGTTTTGACATGGGTCACGTGATATGGATGTAAATGCTCAAAATGAAAGCTGTCCATCTTGACTTTAATTTTGTATTCGTTCTTTTCAAGTCCAGTTGAGTCTGAGTGGGAAGCCAAAAGAAAATAAAAAGTGTCACTGTGCAAATACTTATGGACAACCCTTCATATCTGGGTTAAGTCCTCAGATGTACCACCATGGAAAGTGATTATAGAATTACTCTCTCCTATCAAAAATTAAAGCTATTGCTTGGCCAATAGGGGGCACTCTTCCCTCTGGATTGAAAGGAAATCCAAAGCCGCAGCACTCAATTTGTTTTGTTTTGTTTCCAGGGGAATTATCAGCCATGCAGTGGTGGCAGATCTGAGTATTTAAAGCTTGTTGTATTTTGTACTCGAGCATGTTAGAATTCAAGATAATAATTATGAGTTTGAAGTTGGGACTTGCAGCTTTAACTGACCATGTACATCAATTTAGCGTGATCCGTGTGGAAAGTGCAGTGTTTCTACACCTTGTTTTTGTCCAGATATAGTCCTCTACTTCTGGCCAGCTAATCTTACCCTGCGTTTCTGTAAAATGCCTCTCATTTGAAGGTCATTTGGTCCTCAGTGGGCCTACATGGCCGAATGAGTTAGCTAGATAGCTGTGCTGATCAAGACCCAAGCTTGGCTCCGTGTGCTTTAGTCCATGTATCAGATTTAGGACTTTCCTCCGTGCAATTATCCTGCTGACTCGGTAATCCCACTTTGTGAAACAGGGCCCTGGGGAAATATGGGTTGATGTTCTGATTTTAAAATACCTTTTTTTTTGTCCGTCTCAGAGGATGCAAAGAGGATCTCCGTAAAAGAGGAGCAGCCTGACCCCACATATGAGGCAGCTTATGGAGAACAGGGGTCAGAGACCAACAACAATCACTGTGACTTCACCTTCCCCGAGACCTGTGTCGGAGGACGCGGTGAGCCGCAAAAACATCGTCACCGTATACACATCACCCCTCAGAATGATGGCACTACCCTGGGGTGGCAGGGTGGCATAGTGCCAAGTTGTTTGACCGACACCTCCAGAGCTGTTGGGGTTTTTTTTTTCCTAGCCCAGTGGGTTTTGGGATTCCAACTTGTGTCTGGACAGATGAAGTTGGGAAGAGTTTCTGAGTGAAGACTTTAACCCCAAAACTGCTCATTGTCTGTACTTTACAGCTGTTATATCTGACATTTCTCCCAGGGCATCCTACAAAAAGATAAAACCTCACATTTACAGTATCTCACAAAAGTGAGTACACCCCTCACATTTCCATAATTAATTTATTGTATCTTTTTGAGGGACAATGTTACAGAAATGAAACTTAAGTATATTCTAGAGTAGTCATTGTACAATATGTGTAGCAGTGTAGATTTACTGCACTGTCCAACTAACTATTTCCAAAATGGGTGGCAACAAAAGTGAGTACACCTCACCGTCAACATGCCAAATTGTGTCCATAGTGCCAATATTTAGTGTGACCACCATTGTTGTCCAGCACTGCCTTGATTCTCCGAGGCATGGAATTCACCAGATCTGCACAGGTTGTTGCTGGGATCCTCCTCCACTCCTCCGTGACAACATCACGGAGCTGGTGGATGTTGGACACCTGCCGCTGCTCCACCTTCCTCTTGAGGATGCCCCACAGGTGCTCAATGGGATTCAGGTCTGGAGACATACTTGGCCACGGCATCACCTTCAGCTTCAGCCTCTTCAGGAAGTCAGTTGTCATCTTGGAGGTGTGTTTCGGGTTGTTATCATGTTGGAAAACTGCCGTACGGCCCAGTTTCCAAAGGGAGGGCATCATGTTCAGAATGTCACAGTGCATGTCAGAGTCCATTATTCCATCAATGAAGCACTGCTCCCCAGGACCAGAAGCACTCATGCAGCCCCAGACCATGATGCTGCCACCACCATGTTTGACTGTAGGCAGTATATACTTGTCTTGGTACTCCTCACCAGGGCGCCACCACACATGCTGGACACCATCTGAGCCAAACAAGTTTATCTTTGCCTCGTCAGACCACAGAACGTGGTTCCAATAGTTCATGTTCTTGGACTGGTTGTCTTCAGCAAACTCTTTTCGGAATTTCTTGTGGGCTAGCTTCAGAAGAGGCTTCTGTCTTGGCCGATGGCCATGCAGACCGACTTGGTGCAGTGCACAGTATGGTCTGAGCATTGACAGGCTGTTCTCCCACTGGTGCAACCTCGTTAGCAATGCTGCCTGCCCTCCTGCATCTGTTTTCTGAAGCCAACTTGTGCACCTGATGCAGAGCACGAGAACTCAACCTCTTCAGTCGTCCCTGACGAGGCCTGTTCCGAGTAGAACCCATCTAGGAAAACTGCTGGATAACCTTGGCCACCGTGCTTAAGCTCAGTTTCATGGTTTCCAGAGATCTTCTTATAGCTTAGACCATCTTTGTGGAGAGCAACAATTCTCTTTTTCAGATCCTCAGAGAGTTCTTTCCCATGAGGTGCCATGTTGACCATCCAGTGACCAGAATGAGAGCATTGAACCCAAAGCACCACAATTTAAACCTTCAACACATGTTACACAGCCTCATATAGTCCAGTCAAACAGATAAAAGCATGAACATGATGAATAAGACACGTTTCATTGCTTGGTTGACCATTACCAGTTTGGGTGTGTACTTACTTTTGGTG